TCCTCCTGTTGGGGATATAGCTCAGAGGCACAAGCACCTGCCTGACAAGCGCAAGGTTCCAAGTTCAATTCCTGGTACCAAAACAAAACAAAACAAAAAAACGATCTTCCTGCCTCAGACTCCCAAGCGCTGGGATTACAAGTTCTTTTCTTGTATCTCTTGCATCTTTGTTACATACTGGGAAGCAAAAATGTGTCTGCAAAGAGGTCAGGTACAAAAAGCCCCTAGAAGCCAGTACGGGGGCAGACACCTGTAATCCCAGCGTTGGGGAGGCTGAGGCAGGAGGATGGCATTTTGGAACGCAGCCTGGACAACTATGTGACTTAGGAAGACAATGTCTCAAAATAAAAAAAATTAAAAAGGGCTGGGGCATACAAGGCCCTGGGTTCAATTCTCAGTACCAGCATACAAAGAAGAACTCCCCTGGGAAGGCCACAAGAAGGGTAATACTGGTTCCTCCTCTTGCTAAAACAAGAATGCATCCAGAGGTAGAAACATAGATCCCTCCCACTTTTGAGAAAAGAACCACAAAGCCGCAGTTTATAGGAAATGTAAAAATCTGGCCAGAAGCGGGTCGTGGTGGCACACGCCTATAATCCCAGCACTCGGGAGGCTGAGGCAGGAGGATCGTTGTGAGTTCGAGACCAGCCTGGGCTACAAAGTGAGCTCAAGGCCAGCCTGAGCTGCATATCGAGACCCTATCTCAAAAAGACAAAAGAAAAAAAAAATTCTAAACCGGGACCCTTAAGGGCCAGCAGTCTGAACTCGGTTGGTCCCGTGTTTCGCTGCATAAGATCGCAGAGGAGGTTTTCCTGCTCGGATTTGCTAAGCGCGCTGCTGTGGCGCATGCGTCCTAGATAGCGGCACGGCCGGGCGGGCACAGGGGCCGTGGCGGCCGCGGCTCACGCCGAGCCCGCTGTGTCCTCAGCTCTCCTCGCAGAAGTCGGTGCCGTGGATTCCCATCTTAAAGTCGCTGCCGCTCTGGGCTATCGTGGTGGCGCACTTTTCCTACAACTGGACGTTTTACACTTTGTTGACTCTGCTGCCTACTTACATGAAGGAGATCCTGAGGTTCGACGTTCAAGAGGTAAGAAAAGTACGCCTGCGCTGCCGTGGAGAGCGTGGTGCTGAGCCAACGCGGGCTGGTCGGGGCCGGGGCACAGCTCAGCGGCACAAGCGCCTGCTGGCAAGCGCGAGGTCCCAAGTTCGATTCCCAGTACCAAAAAAAAAAAAAAAATGCATTGAGTGCGGAGTGTGTCATCTGTGGGAAACTCCCTTTACCCTTGCCTGCGCAGACCGCTTCTCTGCTCTTCCCACTCCCGTCCCTCCTCCGCTCAGCGTGCGGTGCGGTGCGGTGCAGGCGCAGGCGCAGGCGCGGCAGCCCGGGTCTGCCCCTGCTCTTCCTCTGAGCGCCACGCCCTGCCCTGCGGCGGCTCTCACCCCAAGGGGCCCTGTCTGACCGTTCCCGGCTGTTACCTTCGCGACCCCGAGTGCACAAGGGGCCGAAGAGAAAAACAGACACACTGAACCGCAAAATCAAGTCTTGCCCGGTGTGGTGGCGCACGCCTGTAATCCCAACACTCGAGACTGAGGCAGGAGGATCGCGGCAAGTGCAAGGCCAGCCCGGGCTACAGGGAGACCCTGACTTACAAACTCTCGCGCATCAAAAGACACTGTGGAGAACATGAAAAGGCAGCCCACTGAATGAGAGAAAGCTTTTTTTTTTTTTGCCTTTTTTGAGACAGGGTCTCGCTATGCAGTCCAGGCTGGCCTTGAGCTCACTGTGTAGCCCAGGCTGGTCTCGAACTTGGAACAATCCTCCTGCCTCAGCCTCCTGAGTGCTGGGATTACACACGTGCGCCACCACGCCCGGCTGGGAGAACATTTTTAAGTCATATTTGATAAAGGTCAAATATCCAGAATATGTTAAGAATTCTCCCAGCTTGGTAATAAAAAGGACAACCCAGGTTTTGGGGGTTTTGTTTTATTTTGTTTTGAGACAGGATCTCATTATGTAACCCATGCTGGCCTCAAATTTGTGGCGATCCTCCTGCCTCAGCATCCTAAGTGGTGTGTGCCCCCACACCCAGCTTAAAAAGACAACCCAGTTTTTTTTGTTTTGTTTGTTTTTGTCTTTTTGAGACAGGGTCTCCATATATAGTTCAAACTGGCCTTGAGCTCACTTTGTAGCCCAGGCTGGTCTCGGACTTGCAACGATCCTCCTGCCTCAGCCTCCTGTGTGCTGGGGTTACAGGCGTTCGCCACCATGCCCGACATAACCCAGTTTTCTAAATGGTCAAAAAGACTCAAACAGCATTGCTGCCAAGATACACAGGTGGCAGATGAGCACATGTAAACATGCTGAGCCTGATTAGTCATTAGGGAAACACAGATGAAGTCCATGAAGAGATGCCACTTCACACGGGCTAGGATCTGTAGCCAAGAGAATCAAAAGCAGATCCTGGCAGGGCATGTAGCACAGTGAGGAGCGTTTGCCTAGCATGCATGCAGCTCGGGTTCATCCCCAGCATTGACGCATGTGGAGTGTGAAGTCAGAAATACATAGTCTATGGAAGCCTGTTTCCTGTCTATGTTCCCATTACTGGGGATTGAACCCAGGGCCTTTACCACAAGCTACATCCCCAGCCTTATTTTTTGAGACAAGGTTTCACCAAGATGCCCAGGCTAGGCTCAGGCTTGCAGTCCTCCTGCCTCAGCCTCCCAGAGTGCAGGATGAGAGGTGTGCGCCATCAGGCCTGGCTTAATGTTTTCCTTTGTTTTTAAAATCAATATTTTTACAAACTGGCCATTGTTCAAAATAAAACTTGCTTTGAGAAGCAAGCAACCTTGCTTTGTTGAGGAAGCATAGTAAAATTACTGTCTTATTTAAAATGTTTAGGGACTGGGGATTTAGCTCAGTGGCACAGGGCCTGCCTGGCAAGCCCAATGTTGTGAGTTCGATTCCTGGTACTGAAAGAAAAATAAATAAATAAAATGTTTAAAGCTCTTTGTCTTATTACAACTTTATTTTCTCATATAAATTTAGTTTCATTAGATTATCCTCACTTTTTTCCTAGTTGTTTTTTTCTTTCCAATTCTGTGTCTCGGGCCAGAGATATAGCTCAGTGGCACAAGTGCCTACCTGACAAGCCCAAGGTCCTGAGTTTGGTTTCTGGTACCAAAAAAATAAATAAATAAATAACCCACCAATTCTTTTTTTTTTTTTTTTTTTTTGGTCTTTTTGAGACAGGGTCTTGCTATGCAGTTCAGGCTGGCCTTGAGCTCACTTTGTAGCCCAGGCTGGTCTCAAACTTGCAATAATTCTCCTGCCTCAGCCTCCTGAGTGCTGGGATTGCAGGCGTGCACCACCACACCCGGCAACCCACCAATTCTGTGTCTCTAATTTTTAACAACTTAAAAGAGTTGAGGTGAAAAAAAAAAAGAGGTGATAATATAGTACCCTGCTTGTAATATTAATATTTTTGAATCAGGTTTCTTTGTTGTTGTTTTCTTTGTCTGTTCTTGTGGTACAGAGGATTGAACCCAGGGCCTTGTATATGCTAGGCAAGTGCTCTACCACTGAGCTACACCCTCAGCCCTTTTTATTTTTTATTTTCTATTTTGAAACAGAGTGTCAGTAATTTGGCCAGGCTGTACTTGAACTTTTTTTTTTGTCTTTTTGAGACAGGGTCTGGCTGTACAGTTCAGGCTGGCCTTAAGCTCAGTTTGTAGTCCAGGTTGGTCTTGAACTTGGAATGATCCTCCTGCCTCAGCCTTCCGAGTGCTGGGATTACAGGTGTGTGTGATCATACCCGGCCTCAGGATTGTCAGTGTTGCTCCTTGAGGGAACAGGCAAAACTCAGAAAATTTACCTATCTGACTGGGGGTGATTTTTTTGTTTTTTGGTCTTGCTTTGTAGTTCAGGCTGGCCTTGAACTCTCTGTGCTGTCCAGAGTGACCTTGAACTCATGGTGATCCTCCTACCTCGGCCTCTCAAGTGCTAGAATTACAGGCTCGCACCATCATGCCTGGCCTTGTCTGACTTGTTATAGTTAGTTTGTGGAGTCTTCCACAAATAGTAGATGTAATTGGGCGTGGTGATACACACCTTTAATCCCAGCACTCTGGGAGCCTGAGGCAGGAGAATCACATGTTCAGACCCAGCCTGGGCAATTGAATGGACTTGGTGAGACCCTGTCTCAAAATAAAAAATAAACGCTGGGCATGGTGGCTCACGCCTGTAATCCCAGCACTTGGGAGGCTGAGGCAGGAGGATCGTTGCGAGTTCGAGACCAGCCTGGGCTACAAAGTCAGCTCAAGGCCAGCCTGAACTGCATAGCGAGACCCTGTCTCAAAAAGACAAAAAAAAAACAGCCAGGATTGCCTGGAGCAGGCGGAGACAGGCTGAACCCCACAATCCTTCCAAAGGCGGATTAATTTACATAGTTATAGGAAGCTTAGCAGAATCTTGCTGTGCATTTCTTTTGTTTCAAGTGGTGTGGTTCGAGGTGGCGCTAGGTGGGCTCGTGTTTGTTTCCCCCGACGTCGTGCTTACTCCTGGATCTTCGTTTTCCTTCCAGAATGGATTTTTGTCCGCGCTGCCTTATTTTGGCAGTTGGTTCTTCATGATCCTGTCTGGTCAGGCCGCTGACAGCTTAAGGACAAAGGGGAATTTTTCAACTCTCTGTGTTCGCAGAACTTTTACACTTGTTGGTAAGTGAAGTTGATCAGGTTTTGTGTGGGTTTGTGGTTACTGGAGCTCGGGATTGCGTTCCCCTCTTACCTACAGTCCACTTGAGGTGTAACCCAAAAGCCTTGCCCTGCCACCAGCGTGTGCGTGACTTCCCACACCCTCCTGGAGCCGGGCACAGTGCCAGCCCCTCTGCCCCAGCCGCAGCCGCCAGCTGCAAGTGCAAGGAGTGACCTGTCCTCCTGAACAGCTGCACCTCCCGGTCCGTGACCCGCAGTGGCTGGAGTGGCTCCCGGAGCTCAAGCCAGCGCTGCTCATCTACTGGTTCCTTTCGAGGGATGGCGGGAGGGCCCTGGTCCTGTCGTGGTCTCTCTGAGGACCACCCTCCCTCCGAGGCCCTCCTACTGTCACCAGTCTTCGCTAAGCAAAACAAAATGATCCTACCATGCCAGAAATTCCAGGGATTTGAGGGACAGTGTAGAATTGGGCACAGGCCAGATAGATAGTTCTTGTTCTACTGCAGTATCCTAACGGAAAAATTAAAATGGCATAGCCCGGCATGGTGGCACAGGCCTGTAATCCCAGCACTCGGCAGGCTGAAGCAGGAGGATCGTTGCAAGTTCAAGACCAGCCTGGGCTACAAAGTGAGCTCAAGGCCCGCCTGAACTATATATGGAGACCCTGTCTCAAAAAGACAGAAAAAAAAAAAAAAAAAGGACCAAAAAAGAATGGCATTAGTCATTTTGTACATTTCTGTACGTGGTAGTTCTTTTTGAGCCATGTGTTTTGAGAATTAAGGTTTATAATATTCTAGCTGGTCATAGTGGGATAGTCCTTGTACTCCCAGTACTCTAGGAGGCTGAGGCAGGAAAATCACAAGTTGAAGCCTATCCTGGTTAACTTACCAAGTTAGTAAGACAGTGTCTCAAAATCTCAATTTTAAAAAGTGCTGAGGATATAGAGGCTGTGGGTTCAATGCTCAGTGTCACCCAAAAAAATTATATATTATTTCCGCCATAGCCTGTAACTACAAAAAGTGGCTTACCCTAACCCTGGAATTTTATACATCACTTTGTTTTTAGCTAGACATTTGCAGTGGACTCCACGCCACCACCTTTGGTTGGCTTTTTTGTTGTAGTTTTGTTTCTGTTTTGTGGCTGGAGGTGGTTCTGGTTTTGGTTTTCAGCCTCCTGCGATTACAGGTTTGTGCCACCACACCTGGCTAAGAGAATCACTTTGAACTTCAAAACTGCTTACTATTTAAAAAAAAACTGTTTACTAACATCACTGTAACAAATAATGAGCTATAAATCAGAGATCTCAAAGGAACCTTAAGTAATCATGTGTTTCACATCCTGCTTTCAGCAAGCTAAAAAAATTTTTTTGTCTTTTTGAGGGTCTCACTATGCAGTTCAGGCTGGCCTTGAGCTCACTTTGTAGCCCAGGCTGGTCTCGAACTCACAACGATCCTCCTTCCTCAGATCCTCCCGTCTCAGCCTCCTGAGTGCTGGGATGACAGGTGTACACCACCACGCCTGACCAGAAAGCTAAAATTTAAAACCAAGACAGTTTATTCAACTTTCTAAAGGTCTCAGTAATTAGAGACTTTGGAAGTATTGGTGGCCCCACATAGGGGGTTACGCTGTGGAAGGACTTGGACCAGGTTAGTTCTGCAAACACCTACTGAGCACCTGCTGCTGGAAGACGCTGTCCTGTCCTGGGGCTTGGTTACTTAGCTTCACATCTACAAGTAAGAGAAATTCCCTTGGATTCCAAGTGGCTTGGATTCTGTACCCCTGCTTAGTACAGCATGGTAGTTAGTGCTAGCTACACAGGGCTGTTGAAACGTTATCCGCTGGGCGCGGTGGCGCTCGCCTGTAATCCCAGCACTCGGGAGGCTGAGCCAGGAGGATTGTGAGTTCAAGACCAGCCTGGGCTACAAAGTGAGCTCAAGTTCAGCCTGAACTGCATAGCAAGACCCTGTCTTAAAAACACACCAAAAAAAGTTACCATAAGTGCCTCAGTTGCAGTGTCTGCAGATACATTTTCATTACCCTGAAGTTACTGGGCACACTGCTGTCCATATGGAAAGGCTGATTTTTTTTTCTCTTTTTTTTCTTTTTGAGACAGGGTCTCGCTATGCATTCAGGCTGGCCTTGAGCTCACTTTGTAGCCCAGGCTGGTCTCAAACTCACAAAGATCCTCCTGCCTCAGCCTCCTGAGTGCTGGGATTACAGGCGTGCGCCACCACGCCCAGCATTGGAAAGGCTGATTCTATGTCTTACATTTGACCTTAACTGCAGGCAGTGGCCTATGCGTAGTTATCAACCCCTAGAGCCGTGATGGAGCATTTTGGGGGGTTTTGGGGTTTTGTTTTGTTTGTTTTTTGTTTTTGAGACAGAGTTTCTCTGTGTAGTTCAGGCTGGCTTTGTTTTTTGCTTTGCTTTTTTCTTCTTTTTTGGTACTGGGAATCGAACTCAGAACCTTGCGCTTGCTAGGCAGGCGCTTCTGCCACTGAGCTACATCCCTGGCCCTCAGGCTGGCTTTGAACTCACTATGTAGCCTAGGTTCGCCTCAAACTCAGTAATCCTCCTGCCTCAGCCTCCTGAGTCCTGGGATTACAGGGGTGGGCCACCAGCCAGACTCAGTCATTCTCTTGATATTCTCTCAAACACTGCAAACCTTCCGCGGAGTCCGGGTCGCATATAGACTTAGTGACATTGCGGAATGACTTTTCCTTTTACTGTTACATTCATTGCAGTAGCCCATATGTTTTCTAAACTCTAGTTTTTTGTGAAACGAAGTCAGTTCCGTGTTCGTACAGCAGGTGGCGTCAGCGTCAAATTTCAGCTCCGTGCCGCCTTAAACTAGGGCAAACGTGAGTGCAGGAGCTGCTCTCCCTTCCCAACTCTGCCCTCCAGGAATGATTGGGCCCGCGGTGTTCCTCGTGGCCGCCGGATTCATAGGCTGCAACTATTCTTTGGCCGTCGCGTTCCTGACCATTTCGACAGCCCTGGGAGGCCTGTGCTCTTCTGGATTTAGCATCAACCACCTGGACATCGCCCCTTCGTGAGTACACTCGGAAGGTCTGCCGCGGCCGGCCGCTTCCCTCCTTGCCGTCGTGGTGACACGCGTGGAGCGCGCAGTCCCGGTCCCCGCCCTGCTCGGCGTGCGCTCTGCGGCGCGGAGAGCGCTCCCTCGGTCGTGCGGCGGCCCTGCGGCTCGCACCTTCCACAGCCGACACCCTGGATCTCAGCGCCGGCGCCCGCTCACCTCCTCCCTGGCCCGGGCAGCTCTCACTTGCTTTCTGCGAAACGGACTTCAGATTCCTCATAAGCTTTCAGTTCACAGTGATTCACTCTTGAAGGTTTTCGTTTGTTCTGGTCCTAGCGATTGAAACCAGGCCTTCTCTGTTTATTTATTTTTTGTCTTTTTGAAACAGGGTCTTGCTGTGCAGTTCAGGCTGGCCTTGAGCTCACTTTGTAGCCCAGGCTGGTCTCAAACTCGCAAGGATCCTCCTGCTTCAGCCTCCTGAGTGCTGAGATTACAGGTGTGCGTCACCACGCCCAGCTAGGGCCTTTTCATTAAAGCGCATCCCAGCCGTTTTTGTTTTTTTTGCGGGGAGAGGTTGTGGTTTTGGTCTTTTGGAGGGGGATTGTATTTTTCATTTTGAGACATGGCCTCGCTAAATTGCCTGAGCTGGCCTCGAATTTGCAGTTCTCCTGCCTCAGCCTCCTGAGTAGCTAGGATTGTAGGCATACATCACCATGCCCAGCAAATTTAAACTTATAACTACCATCACCTTTGTCCAGTGTTCTCATAAGAACATTGCAGTACATCATACGTCGTCTCTTCACCCAGCCAGAGTAGGGGCTCTGGAGGCCGGAGGCCGTCCTCAGGCCCACCCTGGTGTTTGACCCAAGCGAGGCACCGAGGTGGATGGGTGAATGCGGAAGAGCAGACCCATGGCTGGGCCGGTCATTCTGTCACGTGTGTGAGACATGGCTGCACAGCCCCGGCTGAGCGCAGATCCCTGGGCATCTTCTTACCTTCCCTACAGGGCCCCGACGGCCTGGGTGTTCTCACACTATTTTAAGGCTACGAGCCAGGCATGGTGGAGCACACCTGCAATCCCAGCACTCGGGAGGCTGAGGCAGGAGGATCGTTGGGAGTTTGAGACCAGCCTGGGCTACATAGTGAGACCCTGTCTCAAAAGAAGAAAGTAAACAAGAAGTCCAGGAAGGTTCCACACACGAGAGTCTCCCTGTGCCCGGCCCTGGCTGAGGCTGAGGCCTTTCAGGGCCTCCTTCCCAGCTGCACCGCACCTTCCGCCCCTCAGGCAGTGTCCTCGCTGCGCTGTACCTTGGGTCTAGATTGCGCTGCCAGACCGTCACTGCTGGCTTTCTTCCATGTGCTTCCCTCTGATCCTGTGTAGTCTTGCACCATCTCTTTTTTTTTTCTTTTCTTTTTTGAGACAGGGTCTCGCTATGCAATTCAGGCCTTGAGCTCACTTTGTAGCCCAGGCTGGTCTCGAACTCCCAACCATCCTCCTGCCTCAGCCTCCCAAGTGCTGGGATTACAGGGGTGCGCCACCACGCCCGGCCACCGTCTCATCTTGATGCCATTTCTAAGTGAACCTCTTCGCTTTCCTGCCTACCACAGTTGGGTGGAAGCAGCTCGAGACTGAGCTGCTCTAAACTTCCACACAGCAGCTGAAGGAGACATGGCGCAGAAAGGAAATGGTCCATCGCAAGGAGACTTTGCTCATTAAGATGCACACCTAGGGGCCGGGGATTTAGCTCGGCGGCATAGTGCCTGCCTGGCAAGCGCAAGGTCATGAGTTGGATTGCCGGTACGGGGGGCAGGGGGCAGTGGGGCGATGCATATCTATAATCCCAACTGCTCAAGAGGCTGCGGTAGGAGGATCTCAAATTCAAGGTCAGCCTGGGCTACATAGTGAGACCCCGTCTCAAAAAATAAGATATATCAGTTGGGAGGCTGAGGTGGGAGGATTGCCACAAGTTCAAGACCAGTCTGGACTACATAGGGAGGTCAAGGCCAGCCTCAACTACATAGTGATACCCTGTGTCAAAAAATAAGATTAAAGTAAATCTATTGAAGTTGTTTTAAAATGAGTATGGAGCAACTAAAAGCAATTTAATTTCTTTTTTAAGCAATTGAACTTCAAGGTAACTTAGTTAAATTGAGTGATAATCTGAAAGATTAGATACAAACTTCACTGAAATAATAAAGAACTCCTCAAGTTAGTATTAGGCTATAGAATATAACAATATCAGGTACTGACTTGGAATCAAACCAGTTGGGTAGGACTTATAAGCCTCTCTTCATCTATAAGTGAAGATAATAATCCCTACTTCATGGTGATGGTTTTAGTTTTAAATGAGATAATATATAACAAATACTTACAACCTCCAGGCATGGTGGTACATGCCTGTGATCCTAGCAGTCTAGGAGGCTGAGTCAGAGAAATCACAAGTTCAAGCCCAGCTAAGCAATTTAGTGAAACTCCATCTGAAAATAAAAACATTAAAAAGGCTGAGGATATAGCTCAGTGCAGAGGCCCGGGGTTCACTACCCAGTACCACAAAAAAAAAAAAAAAAACACCCTCTAACCGTGCTTGATGTGGGCTATCCTAGTGTACAATCAGCGTTCCCACCAACATCTCACTGTGTCCAGGGTATGTCCCAGTCCTTTTCTATAGGTTGAAATAGAGATTTGTCTGGGGGTAATTTTGTTGCCCAGATTGATTGAAATCAGACAAATTTCCAATGCTCACCTCCACTGAAGCCCAGCACGCCCGGCACGGGCCGGGTCCGCACGCCAAGTTTCCTTGTGCGCAGCCCTGGGGCTTCCTCAGCCGAGCGTGATATAAATACGTGAGTGAGCTGTGGTGCTGACGTGCAGGATTTCACAGCGCACGCCAGCACGGAGTACCTGTCCTTGAGAAGAGCTGGCAGTGCGGCGCTGGCTCCTCCCGCCGCCGAGGTGTTAATGGCTTGGAGAGAGAGGAGGGCAGAGCCTGCCAAGTTGACTGAATTTAAGCTCCACTCCCCAGTGGAGATGCCAAAAGACCTGTGCCTTGTGGTTTTGTTATTGTAGCGTGTGCGTAGGGTTTTGTGGTTTTTTTAATATGGTTGGTTTTATTTTTTTGTCTTTTTTGAGACAGGGTCTCGCCATGCAGACTGCCCACGGTTAGCAGGAAGGAGTGTGAACCTTCAGAAGTCGGGGTAGAGTGCACATGGGGTGCACACCTGTAACCCCAGCTGTCTCTGAGGCTGAGGCAGGAGAAGCAAATGCTCAAGCCCACCCTGGGAAATGTAGCAAGACCTTGTCTCAGTTGTTTTTTTGTTGTTGTTTTTTTTTTTTTTTTTTTGGTCTGTTTGAGACGGTCCCGATGTGCAGTTCAGGCTGGCCTTGAGCTCACTTCGTAGTCCAGGCTGGGCTCAAACTCAAAACGATCCTCCTGCCTCAGCCTCCCAAGTGCTGGGATTACAGGCGTGCATTACCACATCCAGCTTTGAAATTTCAATTTTATAAATAATCCAGATGTTTACCAAAATGATCCCTACATGGAAGAATTATACTTACAGTAAAGTCCCCTACTTACAGACATTTTAGCTGTAAACTTTCACAGGACTACAGCAGCCTCACTTTGTCAAACTTAGGAACTAATCTGGTTTACGAACGTTTTTCCAGAACTGCACTCACTGTAAATTGGGGACTTACGGTAGTTTTATTTTGTTAGTGCTTTTCCTCTTTTAATTTTCAATAACTTTAATTTTGTAACCAGGAAATAATTTTTTTTCCGCCTTGAATTATTTCAGCTCGGGCTGAGCAGGTATGAAAGCCATGTCAGCGCTGCGCGGTATCCGCCCTTCTGTGTCAGCGGCCGTGGGCCTCTCTGTAATGTCAAAGTGCTGACTGGGGCTGGGAATGCAGAAGTTGCGGCCGCTGGGTGCGGGATCCTAGTCCAGTCGGTCATTTCACTGACACATGGAGTTCCGCAGGAACACCGGCTGGGTGTCAGGCCCGCTGTGGTGGGGAAGCTGACACCGCGCCCTTGGAACTGTCTCCCCCAGGTACGCCGGGATCCTGCTGGGCATCACCAACACATTCGCCACCATTCCGGGCATGGTCGGGCCCGTCATCGCCAAGGCTCTGACCCCAGACGTGAGTAGATGCCTTGTGGGAGCCGGGCGTGGTGGTGCACACCTGTCATCACAGCACTCAGGAGGCTGAGGCAGGATGCTCACCTCCAGTTCAAGGCCAGCCTGGGCTTCATAGTGAGTTCAAGACCAGCCTGTCTCAAAAGACAAAACAGATCACAGCTCAAAAAAAACCAAGAATAAAAAGGGGTCGGGGAGCATGTTGGCAGACACCTATAATCCCAACACTCAGGAGGCTGAGGCAGGAGGAGCCAGAACGGGAGCCCAGCCTGAGTGAGTCCATGAAAGTGTCACAAAATTTTAAAAAGGGCTGAGAATGTAGCTCAGTGTGGAGGTCCTGGGTTCAATCCCCAGCACTGCAGGAGAATTTTTTCCACTAAAATCCAATCACATCAGATGGGCGTGGCCACTGGTTGGGCAGCTTTTCTCCTCCCAGTGGATATCTTCTCCCCATTGTCATTTCTACTGCTTGATTTTTGGTTTTGTTTTGTTGTCATTTTTTTTGAGACAGGGTCTCTCTGTGCAGTTCAGGCTGGCCTTGAGCTCACTTGTAGCCCAGGCTGGTCTCGAACTCGCAGTGATCCTCCTGCCTCAGCCTCCTGAGTGCTGGGATTACAGGCATGCACCACCACACCCAGCTTTGTTTTGTTTTAATGCTGCAAAGTTATCACTTGAATTAAACTGAAGTTATAAAATCTAAAACAGTGATTGCTAAAGGGGGCCCAGAAATTGAGACGGCTGTGATGTTTCTACGCGGCTAGATCATGCACTGCACACCGCAGCCCTCCGGCAGACAGAGTCCGCTGTGTCACGCTGCTCCCTGAACACCCCAGGGCTTGCTGTAGTCAGGCTTTGCAAGGGAAAAGATAATACGGGACACGTAACTTACAGGACTGTTTTGTAACAGTCACCCAAAGAGTCAAATGCAAGAGTGCGGGAGATCGGTCCGTGCACCAGAGACCCAAAGGGTCCAGCCGAGGGCCTGGACCCCACAGCAGCGTGCTGCACGATGCAGCTGGAGGCCGGGAGCCCACCGCAGTGTCTCACGCAAGTCTGCGCCACGGGTCCGCGCGGGGAAGGCCCCAAGGTCAGCGGTGGAATCCGGAAAGTCTGCGCCAGCCGGATGAAGGGTCTGTGCTCGCAGGCTGAGGGGTCTGCACTGGAGCCGGGAAGCGACGCTCAGAGAACCAGAGCTCCCTGAAAAGAACCGAAGCCGTCCTCTGAGCGCCTCTGGTGATGAGAACGGGCAGGTTCAGATCAGGCTTCTCAGGCAATCGGACAGCACAGCCGCTTCCCCTCCAGGCCTCCTTTCCGTGCCCGCAGCAGTCCTCGGGTGGGCCCTGCCCGCCCAGCAGCTCGCTCAGTTCAGCTGGGGTTACAGGGTCACCACCAGTTCTCAGTCCCCCAGGGCCCAACGTTCCGCATTCACGGGAACGCACCTCCTGAAGGGCCGCACCTGTTACTCCAGTAGCCTTTGTGTTCAGGTGCAGCGTGCTTTTCTTTCTTTTCTTTTCTTTTCTTTTCTTTCTTTCTTTCTTTCTTTCTTTCTTTTTTCTTTTTCTTCCTTCCTTCCTTCCTTCCTTCCTTTCTTCCTTTTTTCCTTTCCTTCTTTCCTTCTTTCCTTCTTTCTTTCTTTCTTTTGAGAGAGGGTCTTGCTGTGCAGTCCAGGCTGGCCTTGAGCTCACTTTCTAGCCCAGGCTGGTCTCGAACTCTCAGCGATCCTCCTGCCTCAGCCTCCCGAGTGCTGGGATCACAGGCGTGCGCCACCACGCCCGGCTACACAATCTTGTTGACACCGCCTTTTTTTAATAAAGCGGGCAGCCAGCAATGTGATTGCATTTGCACCTTTCTTTCTCTGTAGGACACCATCAGCGAATGGCAAACTGTTTTCTACATTGCTGCTGCTATTAACATATTCGGAGCCATTTTCTTCACGCTGTTCGCCAAAGGCGACGTGCAGGCCTGGGCCGTCGGCGACCACCTCGGGCACAGACACTGAGGGCGGCAGTACAGCCCCGTCCCCTGTTCCGCATCATGTAACCTCAGAGTGCCTTCGCCTCCGGGCGCGCGAGCCCCGTGCGCGGCGCAGCGCCGCGCCTGTGTCCAGTCTGTGAGGCTTGTAATCATGAGACGCCCCTGCTTCCCGGGTCAGTGAAACTGGCCCCGAGTAACGAGTACCGAGTCCGCGGGCCCGGGCCCTGCGCTGTGCGCTCCGCCTGC